CATCGTGTGATGGTCTAGGTGAGATAATTTCAGTATGTGTAAGAGTTGACAAAAGTTGGAGGGTTAGGGAGCTGTTTTCCTGTCAGTCTGTTTGATATTCCTGTGTGTTCGCAGGATCGTTATTTTAGAGCAATTGGAATATTGTTTTGCCAGTGTAAGTGGCATTACAGCCACCATATTTATATGAATACATGATGCAGGAATTCAGGGTACGTAGAAATGGGCAATTAACTTGATTAATTTATTACCTGTTTGTTTTTGTTTTGTTTTGAAATTTGCGCAAAGCTACACGAGGGCTATCTGCGCTAGCCGTCCTAATTTAGCAGTGTAAGGCTAGAGGGAAGGCAGCTGGTCATCACCACCCACCGCCAACTCTTGGGCTACTCTTTTACCAACGATTAGTGGGATTGACCGTCACGTTATAATGCCCCCACAGCTGAAAGGGCGAGCATGTTTGGTGTAACGGGGATTCGAGCTCCCTATCCACCTGGCCATGCCGGGCCAATTTATTATCTATCAGCAAAGGTTACATTAATTAATGTCATGACAATAACCAACTAATTAAAATTAGTGTTCCCAATTTATCTACCTATTCTAATAATCAAAATACTGCAATTACGATTTCTAATTATGTTTTTTCAACTAATTCAAGTTTATTCAGCTCAACCATCAGCATACAAGGTTGGGCAATTTGACTGACTCTCTAACCAACATGTAACTCTGTGGAACTATAAATACTATAACACTGAAAGTATTTTCATGAAATGTGGCAAGCTCTTAGTAAACATTAAAAGTCAATTGTGTGCAAAAAAAAATCAGATATTTTACTGAAACATCTTTCTTCTAAAAATTTGTCTGTGAATTTATGAAGCCTTTACTGAGTGAAATATAATACGTTATTTGATAGATTAAAACTTTGGCTTTCTATTCATTGTAAATATTACAGTATTAAACATCAGAGAGAATTAATGGCAAGTTGTGAAGGAGAGGACGTGACAGGTGGGCGTGGCAAGAGGGGTCTTATTTTCTAGTTTATGGCTCTATAACCAAATAAGATTGAAGGCTATAAAAATTATGCTTTGCCTGGGTAATAACTATATTATAATGAGTAATTTACGTTATATTCCGTACTTCTAGAGAATAAGGGAAAACTATCGAGCAAATGTCATAATTCTCATACTAGGGTGAGATTAACGATTTTTTTAAATATCTCCTTACAAAATTAAAAACTTAAAACTCATATAATATTAAAATTTGATTTATTACCATTTTGATGCCAAGTTTATTCATTTTTCACAATAATAAAGTAAATTTATTACATGTTGAATGTAATTCTTTAAAAAGTCATGACATGCGCACTTTGACCTGCCAGAAGCAAGAAGGTTAAGCACTTTCATCAAAAGCATGAGGCCAGTTTATTTAGTAAAATGACAACAACAAAAATTATTTGAGTTTTATTTCACAGAACTTCTGTATTAATAACTTTATATGTTTAATTTTTATTGAAACTATAAAATTTCTAGATTACTTGTTCTTAATGGCGATCTCTTCAGGTCCTCTTCTTTCCATGATGATGTTTCTTCTCTACCAAAGTGTTTCTCCTGCAAGATAATCAAATAAACACAAACAGTTAATAATAATAAAGATAACTGTTACATGTATACGGCTAAATAATTCAAGATCCAGTTTTTTAACCAAACATATTTAACTTTTGATATGTATTTTTCTTGTTGGAAGTTTTGAAATGGTCATAAATCATAGAGTGACTTCACTTATAACATGATAATTAGTTCTATCAAGAGTTATGTATTAGCTATCTCAAAGAAAAATTTTGATCTCTACAGCCACAAAAGAGAAGCATTATTAATATAAGCTATACAACTAAGATATTATTCAACAGATTATAACAATAACATTAAAAAATGCCTCAAACCAAGCGAAGTGAAGACAGGTTTATAAGAACTAATAACAAAGTTCAGCTGGAAAGAAATGTAAACAAACCCTAAATAAATACAGTGTTTCAAGAAGAATATATCTTTTATTGGCTCAATATTTTGCCTTTACAGCTTCATCAGGGGTTATCAATAACCTACATATCTGCTAATCCAGGAAGTTATTCAAGCAGCTAATAATAAACAGTTTATTTCTGATATTATACTTTTCCCACTCAATTTAATAAGTATTTTTCTAAAACGTAATGTACTGAGTGATGTCTTAAGTATATTGTGTTTTTCTTTACCACACTCCTTCTTTCGCTGCTGTTTCACACACATGATTCCTACGTAATCCTTTTGGGGTTTGAGGCAAGAAAAAATTAATTATCTACATTTTATCTAATACAAGTTTCTAAAGCTTTTCACATAATACAAGAGATTAAATCAGAAATGCAAAAATTTATTTTACAGCAAATGTATAAGCATTTGTATGATGACAAAAAGGGGCAAAGGAACATTCTAAAGCTGTAAACATAAAAAATCTTTTACAATACATAGTATATGAAGAACTAACTTATATATGTTCAAATACATAATAAGCACTATTAGTTTAAGTTCTGCACATTCTGGCTTTCCCAGTTAATAAATAACAAGCTTACATATTGTTTTTTGAGTCTGTGTACAACTTAAAAAGTCAACAGCAGAACTCATGAAATGTACGAGCTAAAAGCGTTAAAAAGAGTTTCACCAGTAAAAGTATGCACAGCATCTACTTTATCTTTTACTGGTATATTTTCTTCAGTACTTTCATTATTTTCTGGGTTTCGAAACATATTTGCAACACTGCTCAGGAAGAAATTCCTATTTCTAGATGGGGCCTCTACCATCCATGACATCCAGTCAGCTAGTCGTCTCCGAAAAGACAAATGATTTGCTGTTTAAATAAAAAAATAAAAAATGTTGACAAACAAATGTAATTTTTGTTACATATATATAACACTTTCATCAATTTTAGATACACACACACACACACAGTTTTAAATACTGCAATCATTAATCAGTGAAAAATGTAAAAAATAATGAAGCTCGAGGGTAAAAATAGTTGCAAATTAGTTTCTTTCAGTTCAGTATGGAAAATGTAATTCAGAGGGACACTTTTACCAATATTTGTTGTTATTAACCAAGTTCATGCTCACACTTAAGACTTCTGATTCCTCACTCTGATGTTCCACAGTTTACAAGAATTTTTACACAATCTTTGTTGTGTCACCTGTAACTTTAGCTAGAACTTCCACAATGAAATGAAAGAGAAACCAAAGATATAACTGTTCACCAATACAAAAAAAAAGCAAGAGTAATTCAAAATCAACATCCAAATGGGGTGAAGAGAAACTAGGAAGAGTCAAGTGATCAAAGGCAATATTGTTGGCCCACAACTGTATACTGAGTTATAATCAAAATGTTGCAAAATAGGACGATTAAAGGACAGACCACTAGCTTACACCCATTAAGAAGGAGCAAGTCCCCAAGATTGCTGAGAATAAAATTTTTTCGCAAGTAATCAGTATAAATGAAGGGAGGGCAAAAAAGTTAAAGTCAATAATGAAGAATCCAAACAGCAGATCTTCTCAAAGTAGGCAGCACCAAAAGAAAGCATACAGGGACAACCAAACCTTAAAAAAATAATCAGTTACTCAAACATATGAACCAAAATACAAAGGTTAAACAACAACTGCCAATAACAATTTAGATGTGTATCTGAGTTACTTTGAAGCCATAATTATGACAGGAAAGTCACCTGAACAATTATGATGACTGTCAGAAGATCAGTAAATGCTTGGGAATGCCACAAGTTAACTTGAAACTTTTAAGATTATATAAACTACTACAACTGAAGGTTAAGATCTGAAAATAACCTCTAACGTAGAAAATGAGACACAAAGTTTAAAATGCAGTACAGGAAAGCCAAATTTAATGCCACAGCACCAAGCACACACACACATATGCAACAAGAACAAAATAAAGTGGATTCAGTATAATGCCAATGTATTACAATGTAATATGCAGTGATTGGCGCATGGATGTTAGGAAAAAGAGGTCAGATAATACATAAAATAAAAATTCTTATAAGAATGAGATATATACTAGACTACAGTACTGAAATTGACAGACAGTGAACAGGTTGATGAAATGGATACATAAATAAAAGCAGTAAAAAAGCTTACACAGCTTCCAAGGTATCGTTTGAGCACAAAGATAAGTGTTTGAAGGTTCCCAAGAATTTCTTTTACCTATATGTACAAAAGTTTGGTACGAATATAACAATTCAGTCTGTCACCTCTACAAGCCACTGATTACACTTTTGGAACATGTTCTACTGTACTGATGTAAGGATACTTTAAGATAAATGTGGAAGTACATTAAACACTCCCTACCTCCTGCCAGTGTGCTGATTTGTTTTTGTTATTTTCATTACAATTATTGCATTTGTTAAACTTCTCATACATTAACTCTATTATGCCCGGAAGGTTGCATCCTACATAAGGTTAAATAGTACCACTGAATTAAAAAAAAACACACTTCCCAGTTAAAATTTTGTCAATAAAAAAAGCTTTATTTATTTACACAAAAATAAAATCCTTACAGGTTGAATTCAGTGTGCTCCAAACAAAACCACTAAGTGATTATGAATTTCCTGAATTCTTTCTCAGTATGATAAGGCACTCATAATCTCTAGGAGGAAATTCAAATTAGTGTTGAACAAAATGGTGGTAATTTGACCTTCTAGTTATCTACTTTTGCCAATCAATGTTTCTCAGCTTCAGTCCTCATGGTGTGTGATGTATTTGCTTATATCTTAGTTTTGAGAAGTCCTAGACTAGTGATCTAAACATGTAACAAAACCTTTTTTTTCCCTGTTCTTTTCAACTCTATAAGTCAATGTGACTACCAGTTCAGCAGGTATTTGTATAAAGATCAGAACGAAGTGATAAAAGCTTAGCTTGATGATATGTTGCTAGGCTTAGCTTGATGATATGTTTCTAGGCTTAGCTTGTTGTGTCGCTAAAAGAAAATATTTTGTGTATAACTTCTGTAACAATAACAATCCTGATTTTTTTTTTGAAAGCTTGCTTTATCATTTTATACTTTATTTGAATTCAGATGATGCAATATAAGAAACGTTTTTTGTGAAATGAGGGAGGCTTAGTTAAATCATTTTGCTGATGACTTTAATTTCACCGAAAAAGCCTCATTAGTCTAATTATTACATAAATATATAAACTGCTTGAAAGATAAAAGAAAATCACTGAAAGAAAATGTTAAATATATATATATATATAAATGAATATAAAATGGGTTTAAAACTTATTACCTATATTCAATGGACTCTTCTGATTACCAATTAAAAAGATTTGACTTGCTTATAATTTTGGTATGTTAAAAAAGCTATTTTTATTGTACTGTATACCAATGATTGCAAACACAGTAAAATTGTATACAATGTTTTTCTTTCAATCAAAACAAAGATAAAACGTATGGTTTTATGAAACAAAAACTCTAAAGGAAAGTTTTAAAAGAATGTAGAAAGACATAAAAATCAGGAATTAAAATCTACAACAAAAGGAAGACATTTTTAATTGTTTCTCAAAAATTACAATGAAATCTTTTCAAATTCTCAAAGCTGCAAATTCACACAAAAATAAGATATCTTATTTGTAGAACTTACATAATCTGTAGAAAGTTATTGATGTTTTGAAATATTTCATCCACTTTTTTTTTGCAATGCAATAAAATAAACCATACTGCAGGTGCTTTGAGAGTTTAAGAGCAAAAGTTTTAAATTTATACACTTGTCATATTTCTACTCATGTCAAATGTATGTGCTTACATTTGCAACTTTATTAATCTAACATACAAAAATTCTAAAATCACAATTTTCTTTAATAAATAGTCATTCTTAATATTTGTTCTACTAATTTTTCCTATTCTTCTTCAAATAAATGTTATTCTTTACCAGTTGATTTAGACAACTCATGGTAACCGTATATTTGTTGTGATGTTTTAGTATGATTTGTACACATTCATAGTTGTACAGATATCCTTACTTCTTTTGTGAGCATATAAACTTATTTATAATGCATCACTGATTATAGAAAATTTATGTCATGCTGTTAGCCCTTCTTTACAACAATTCATAATATAGATAACTGTTTTTCAAAATGTTTTGTGACATGATAAACAAAGTTGTAATATATGGTATTTTTTAAAATATATTTTCTTTTTAGTTTTCAAAATGCATTCTGGGAAAATGAAGGTTAGAGAAATCAGTTTCCTTAGCAGGATTCCCAGTTTACAAAATGCATTCTGGGAAAAATGAAGGTTAGAGAAATCAGTTTCCTTAGCAGGATTCCCAGTTTTCAAAATGCATTCTGGGAAAATGAAGGTTAGAGAAATCAGTTTCCTTAGCAGGATTCCCAGTTTTCAAAATGCATTCTGGGAAAATGAAGGTTAGAGAAATCAGTTTCCTTAGCAGGATTACCATTTTTCCTCCACCCCAAAAATTAAGGGCTTCATAATGACTTAAACAAATGCCCATATTAACCACTAAGACACATTGCAAAGGATCCATAACCTGGTTAAATGTTTAATTACTAACTGCAAATGACAGAAACTAATGACATGAAACAGTTACAAGACATGCTTACTGTGCAAACCAATCACTGACTCAGTTAAAACTTCACTCCACTGATCAGATACCTCATTCAATATCCAATAAAAACAAAACAGGCCCAGTGTTCCTTTAACAAAACGTCAGCCAAAAATTAAGTACTTTTTAAGTGCCCTTAAAAATGAAGATAAAAACTATGGGAGTCTTACTTTAACTATTTTTTTGATAAAACATATTGCTTTATATGAAAGAACTTCAAGGATTCAGCTGCTTGACCCCACTAAAGACCTGTCCCTTGGACCTTGCTGGAATCCTGTGATGGTTTCCAGATTCTCAGTCATTTGGGAATGTATAAACACTTCACAGAAATCAGTTCAGCTACAAATTAATTCTCAATGTTGTTTTTAATTCTACTTCTTTTACTTATAAAAATTGAAAAATTATTAGCAAGTGAATATTGATCATTCCTGCACTACAGTTTTAGGTTAACATGACATACCATCTCTTTCATGGTGATCTAGATGAAATAATAAAAAAAAACACACAACACAAAAGATATTATCTCTTCTTTCACATGTATTTACCTTCAGTGGACATAAAACCATCGTCAGCCTCGATCTTCCTTTGCTTAGCTGGAGTGTTGCTAAAAGGTTGTTGAAACTCGCAGCCTGTTTTATCTTCACTGAAAAATATTAAGAGTGGTGTATTTAGAAACACTCAAATAAGTGTATAAAAAGGATCAATATAATAAACAAAACTATAAGAATTTCAGAATGGATTGAATTTAATATATATTAAAAGAAAAACAAGTAAATGAAATGTGGAGACACAAAACTGAGAACAGTGGTTTAAATCAAGTCTAAACAGTCTTTTTATGATTATAATAACCTCACTGCTAACTAAATTCCTATAAACAGATCCCATAACTACTAATTGATCATTTCATTAGCCAAACATTCTGTTAAATTCTTCTAGGTTTTTATCAACATCGTACCTAAAAGTTTCCTTTTTCTTCTACAACATATGTCCTTTCCATAACTAAAGTATTTAACTTTTCATTATTCAGCATTGAAACTCATTTTCCACAAACTGGTCTATTCAAAAACTATCATGAGACTTTTAACTAAAAGATACAGTCCTAATACAGACAGACTGTCCAAATGTGTTAGCATTATCAGCAAGTTTCAAAATATAATTGTTCAAAAACTATCTAAGTTACTGACAATATAATGTAGAACAAAGATCCTCAAAACAGATCCCCAAGATGAACCAACAATTTACACACTACTACCACCATGCTAATTTATTACCCACTTAACCTTATGCCAATTCCATAACCGGTCAACTTACTAATTTAAATAAATTAATCACACTAGCAAATTTGTAATTACTAGTAGTAGTAATTTCTAACCTATCCAGTGACTTAAAGAAAAAAAAAGTTGAAACTCAACTAACTCATTTTAAGCTTCTTAAACATTTTAAGATAAATCCCATCATAATCTGTTCTCCAGCAAAAATAAAACTTTGGAAAAATATCGCTCCATCATAGGAATAATTGAATTGTAATTATTGTTGTAAGACAATGAACCCATTTTATCAATAACTTGTACTGTGCACAACATTTTGAAACTTTTTCTTTTCAATTATCATACACATACATATTCAAACATGAAATTATTAATCATTTTTATAATGTCTTTTCAAATTTCAGAATTATCAAATTATCATTATAATAAGCTTTTTTTGTAAATGTAGCTGCCATTTATAGGCCTAGTGTCTTAAAACATTAACAAAAGTAGCAGTGACACTAGGCACATTTCATACTACCTATTGCCATATCATTGTAGAAGCTGATTTGTATATCTAAATGGAGTTGTTTTATTGAACTTTCATGCGTGAACCAACTAGAATACTGTTTAAAAATGCAATACAAGATTAGTAAGTTTCACAATAACTTTAACTTGAAACAAAGTTTTTTAAAATTTATCATTCATAAGAACTTCTGAGTGAAAGTAAAGAGTTTATAATAACATTTTCACATTTACTGTAGCGGTGGGTGAGTCCTGCCAAATGCTTTTATCCAAGTGAGATACATTTCAAGTTTTACTTTAACTTCTAGAAGGAGTTAAATGCTTTCATGTTTCTTAAGATAGCCTATACTGTAATGAAAGTAACTGTTTTCCCATGAGCATTTCTTTCACTATGATGAAAAGAAAGATGACTTAAGACATAACTTTATCTACAAATATCCATACATTTGTTTATTACTATTAAAAATACAATGTTCTGAGCCTACTGTGTCTCTTTTTCAGTTTAGGAATACAACAAAACAGGTTAATAAAGTTTACAGATGGCTTGAATGGGTAACAATAAAGACTATTACAAGTTTAAAGAGAGTAACAAATTTTGATTTCAACAAAGTTTTGCCACCAGCATGACCTGAATAGAAGAGGATGTTACGAAGAACTATTGCTCAGAACTTTGAATAGAAATCTATTTTGAATGTATTCAATCTTCTTACAATCATCATTCATCAAAATACAAACAAACAAAAAAGCTCACCCTGCAAGTCAACGCTGTCAAAACCTGCAATTATTTTATTACTTTTGTAATTAATTATAAAATAGTTAGTGAAAAATGGCAATTACTTTATTTTTTATATAATAATTCAGAAACCTAGCTCAAAACATCAACTACAATGTTTTATTTATCCACTGCCATTCTCACCTGTATTTGTGACAAACAAATGTCATTAAATCATCGCAAATTCTACCCATCATGCTTTAAAGTTTTATTGCTATTAGTTCCCTTAATTGAGGTCCAATTATTTATTATTACAGTGTAACACTTTTGTTTTGACAACTGTAATTGCCAATATCATCATTATGGTCTATTGTGTAAACATACTACTGGTTATTCATTCAACCAATCAATTAAGTCTTAAAGTCAACCTAGCTAGAGTAACCTGACCGATGAGAGTCTATGGTTCAGAAAAAGGATGCTGTGTGGTAAGGAAGCATAAACTGTTTGATTTTCCATAAATAATGGAAGCAATGGGGTGTTTATTGACCATAAACATAAGAGACAACTAATCACATCTCTTATCAAACTACAGACAACTTTATTTTCTAAGAACTATATTGGCAAACTACTAAACTGGAATTTGCTCATAAGGAATTAAACAAGAGAACAGATAAGACTGACTGTATTTCAGACAGTATTTACAAGTTCCATTTCATTTATGAAATTAAAAAAATAACATTGTCTATACAAGAAAAAAAAGCAATGAATTTAAAAATTGAAATAAAGACTTGTTATACTTGTTTTAAGTTTTGATTATTTGTTTGCCTCATGTTTGAATCATGTGCTAGAATTGGCTATTAAATATTTTGTCACAAAACTTGTGGCTATAAATTAATACTGGGCCATTGAGAGCATTTGAACAGTTGATATGAATTCACTTAGGTTAAAATAACGTAACTATGATTGTTGTAAAACAATATTTAAAATATACAAGTTATACAAAAGTCTGAATGTAATGAAAAAGATGCTAATTAATAATTTATGGAATTATCAGATATAAAGTTTCTAATTCTATTTTACATGAGCTTTAAATGATTAAAACTAAGTAGTGACATTTGAAACATTTTAAAAATGAAATGTTTCACAGAATATAGTTTTTCAATTCTTATCAAACACTTATATCTTATAATCACTTTGTGATTTATCTAACATAGGTTTGACTTGTGTTTAGCTGACAGGTCTGTATTATATTTAGAACATCTAACTTCTACTACAAGTTCAAGTTGTAAGTGTAATGTTAGACTACTATTCTTGAAAAAGTTTCGTAATTGTAGCAATGTTAAAAAACCAAATGGCAACTTTTAATTTATATATGCTGTCATATATTGTTTTACTGACCAGCACCTAACCATCCATCACTTTTCATTCTTATAAGTTACAATACTTTCAAAAAAAATCTTGATGAAAATTTTGAGCGTTAAAAATAACATTGTACTTGTAGTCTGTACTGTGTACACAACACAGTAAAGTGTACGTACTATAACTTACAACTTATTAAATGTTATACTTAATAATTTATAAGTTATACTGTTATAGTACTATTACGTTGTATTATTTATAAGGCTTATTGTATTTTACCACTAATTTTCATTATTTATTCTGTTCCTTGTGGATTACATTTGCAAGAAACTGTATAAAGTATGATACTACTGTCTGCCACAAATATATTATGACAGACCTATGCTACCAGTACCAGTTCTTCCCAGTTTCGAAGTTAGGGTTAAGTAAGCCTAATAATAACCTACACTACAGTATTGTTATTTTCACCTAGGACTGCGATTTCTTTTTCTCACGTTGACTTGATTTGTAGAAATTTCTTCATTTCTAGAAGTTACAAATTTCTTTAAGCTGGAAGATAATTCCGGTAACATTACTGCCAAAAATATAAATTATCTTTAAGATGACTGTAAGTAATTTTAAAAATATCGCTTGGAAACCGTAAACTCCAAGTTATTAGCCACTCATGTCGAAGTGGTATGAAACATAAAATCAGATGTTACAACAAAATATAACACCCATGAAAATTATCTACACTTTTCACGAATGCCCACAATTTTCTATAAAATGACAATAGCCTTTATCACACGTTATTGGTTGTTTGCGTGGGTTTTCTCTGAGGTTTTTGTGTAACTTCAAAATATTTGATTTTAACCTATTTCGTAACTATCATAATTATTCGAGTTTTCCCAATTGCCGATTTCTTCTCCATTCTCCTTTGTGTTAGTGGTATATTAATATACCATGCGTATCTATTTTCTTCTATTATTAACATATATTCTATATGTGTGCAGGTTTCACATATCAGATGATATTTGCAATTTTATCTTTCGTGAAAAATAAAATAAATCATAACATACACACAGAATCATTAGATAATTAATACGCTGTATAATACGAATAATAAATTAAGCACAATTGCATAATATTATTCACACACTTAAATTAATTTAAGTTACTATATGGTGAAATAAAATGGACTCAAAAACTCCATAAATCTTGAATAATAGAGAAAGTCATTAAGTTGATTTTGTTCTAGTTGACCTTTTTAGTTTGTTATTATTGAGTATAATTAAGCAAGGATATCGACAGCAGTGTTCTTCAATGGTAATATCTCGGGGTTACGTCCTCACATATGTCTGAATGAGAATTACTACTTAAAGAAAGAAGAAGTGCTTTGTACAAATCAAAACAACAAACAAAAAACAACACACTAATAATATATCAGTATATCGATGCAAAAATTATTACATAACTTATGAAACATACCAAAAGAAGCCGAGCCGGACCTAGGCAAAATTGTGGCCTGTGGGAACTTTGCATTGGCTCCCATGCCCCTGAAAAATTGACAAGAACTGCTAATTCTAACGTCGATTTTGGCACTCCTTGGGACGGGCTCTGAAAACCCTGAAAAGAAGAAGAAAACGACTATTTTCGAGAGGCTAACACTTGCCATTTCCATGGGATGGAGTAAAACAGTGTGGTACATGATTTAGCCCGATCAGTTAAAGTTAGAACATTCAGCAAAACCGTTTGTTCCGTGTGAATAATTCAAGTACATACATTGTTTGTGTTAAGCCCCTATAAATAAACATTGTTCATTTCGTATTTCAATCTGTGTCAAGTCTCTTTATTTCATTCGTTCTAATGATTAAGTTACTCAGAGATACAGCATTACTTCGTAGTAGGTACCTTCACCAAATCTCCTGTTATTAAGTGGACCTATCCTATTGCTCTAAGATTAACTTAGTTTTACCCGAATATAACATATACTCATGAAAATAAACCCATTAAGATATGATATCTTATACGACAGGTTTGTTCTTTCTGAATGGTAAGCAGTGAACACTGATGAACGTTCAAAAATACTCAGTAAAACTTTCTCTTTTGAAAAAATTCATACTATTCCCTCATCTGTAAGTTTCTTAGTGCAAATTATGCTCACCTTTTTTAAAGAAAAGAAGAAAGAAAAAAACAATATATATATATACAAAAAAATGTTTTGAATACAGAAATCAGCTAAAGTTTGTTCTGATAGAATTTATAGAGTTTAAATTAATTCTCTATACATGTTCTAACATAATTTCACTGAATATTCGAATAATAATAATAATAGCGGAGCCTAGCGTACTGTTATGTGGCGGGTTGTAGATGGCAGGGTCCAGGATTTGAAACGTTATGCTACTGAATATGCTTTGCACTTCCAGCTGTGGGCATGTCATAAAACTGAAACGAACTCCAAGAAATGGATAAAACTCTTGCGGCAGCGAATGTTGGTAACAGGCTGCCTTCACTCTGAACAGAAATTCAAAACTAGGAATGGTCATACCCGAGTCTTAGGGATCTCTGATGTGGTCATTTATACCTACCTGCACAAAAGGTGCTGTTCAGGTTGAAAATTCAAATTATAACTATAATTAAGAGAAGAAACGTCTGTAATCTACTGTGATGCCCTTAACATCTTCAAGGCCTAAAAAAAATTATTCTTCGTGAACTTCAGAGTAATATGAAATGTTGCTTACTGTATTACAGCCCTCAACATGATGATTACAAAAAGAATCGAAATAATACGACTACACCTGAACACGGTTTTCCTTATATGGTGTGTCAAGGTCGTCGCGAGAACGAGGTTGAGTATTTTCATGAGTAAACAAAGATTCTCTTCATCCATGCTAACCCTAACTACAGCTATTGCATAAGTCATCAGGCGGTTAAATATAGAGATCCACACACAAATATAACTTATCAGACGTCACTCCTTTCAAAGGTAAGGTTTAATAGTGAATTTATGTCTTTTAAGAGGAAAATATGTGTGATAACTACAGCCCTATGGGCGATAATAGAAGCTTTTTAGGCCTATATTATGGGCCAGGCTTTCTTAAGTGTCCATTTTTCAACTGGAAAATATGAAAAAAAAACCTTCTCCTATAGGATTTATACAGTTCTTGAAAATATAACTACATAAAAACCTTGTGCCAAAAATCTAACCCTCGGGCTATATTCTGTCATATTTTTCCACCTTAATGAAGATGACTACTGTTTTTCACATGTGTTCTACTTTACCAGATTGTATTGTACCTAGAATAAAAAGGCTAAAAGAAAACTATTCGTAAGAAGGTTTTCCTTTCTGCTGCCTTTGTTCTGTGATAATATTTCAGCTGCCGGCTTTGTTTATCATCCATTCCAAAAACACAAATATGAAACCCATCACCGAAATGTATACCACCTCCGTATATTAGCAAAGACAGGTGTAGACATTAATGTGATCTCCTTTACATTTCTATGGTAAATTCAGCTATAGTAGGCTAATAAGAATAGTCATTTTGTATTAGACTACTTCCACAGATCATAAACGTAAGCTTTTATTATAATGTGCCATTATACTAATAAGCGCAAAGCATATATAAGGAGTTGAATTATAATAGTGATCTCCTTTACCCATTCTGTGAACTACTTTACATGCATCTCACCATGTCTTCAATTATCTGTTTTTATCAGTAGACCTTTAATTATCGCTTACAGATTTGACTTTGTAATTTATCAGTCATTTAAACCTAAAACTACCACCACTCATACCATTTGAACGTTGGTTAAAGAGATAAACACCTGTTAGGTAATCCCACTTTCAAGGACTTTGATTTGTGACAAAAACATTTCAAATCCACCTTACCCTGATCATCTGCACATGGTGGAAACTAAATATGGCGGGAAAATCATTATGCGCTCTATATATTCGCTTCTGAAGTAAAACTGAACACGTAAATGAGTTCACGCAGTTTCGATGTTCAGTGATTTTTATTGAAGAATCCAATTTACTCTTATTACCCTTTCAGTTATTGATAACAACAAATGTCTTGACTGTTGTGTATAACGATATAACAAAATGCCATAATATGAGTATCTGCACTAGATATATGCGTAAAGGAGATCACGTGCTTAAAAAACTAATTATATTACAAGCTTCAAATGGACATGCCCAAAATATCTCTTGATGCCCTGTGTTTGGGGTATAATAAAATCAAATTATATACTTCCCTGATTGATTTTAGACTCTAATCTTTTTATTTACTCAAAAATTTGTAATTATTGTCTTAAAAATAAACAACCGTGAAGGAGAACACATGATTAAGGTGACATGTTATTTTGGATATTTTAATATGTGAAAAATAATGGGACAATCAGCTAATAACAAATTTTCAAAACATAAATGTTTACTAATTAATCACAGTACAGGCTTGAGTCATACTTACAACTTTTGTGTTTGTGTTATTGCTTCAAAATTAAATTTTTCTGCTGGCGACACGTTACTTTAACACCCCACCATTGTTTATTTCCTTGGTTTGCTGGAAAAACTTAATACAAACTCAATATATTATATATGTTTGGAAAGCTCTGTCCATCGTCTATCATTGTTATATGTTTGTGCAAGGTACGTACTCAGAGAAATATGCCCCAGAACACTGGCGACATCAAATTGGACACTTAAGAAAGTCTGGCCATTATAGTTAACAACCACTTCTACACTTTACATCCGGCTGTATATGAACTAACCTATTCCACACAACTTCAAACTGCCTCTTTTCATTATATTGTGATGTTTATGTTTCAGAATATATTTACAATACGTAGGACTTAAAACAGGATAAAATACAAACATGGGAAAAGGTTACTGCTTGTGTCGATGAGGGTAAGGGTGTAGATTTGGTGTATCTGTGTTTTCAGAAAGCATTTGACAAGTATTGTACACAGAATTATCTCTATAGGTGTGTTGGATAAGTTAGATAATTGGATAGAAGAGTGGCTGGATGAAAGAAAGTAGAAGATTGTTATAAACGGAGTTCAATCATACTGGATTAATGTCATAAGTGGGGTACCCGATGGCTCAGTCTTAGGACCTTTGCTTTTTTGATTTACATCAATGACATAGATGAAGGAAGGATCAATAAATTACTTACATTTGTTGATGATATTAAGGTATTTGTTGTTTCTAACTGTGAAGAGGGTGCTTCTGCTTTACAAATGGATTTAGATCATTTAGTGAGTTGGGCATATAAATGATGATTTTTAATTATAATAAATGCAAGATAATGCATATAGGTTATCATAATTTGTATGGAAATAACTTGAACAATGTATTAACCTTAATACTGTCAAATGCTTTATGAAAATCCAGATACACCAAATCAACACCCTTACCCCCCATTTACATAAGCAGTAACCTTTTCAAAGAATGTCAAAATATTTATAAGGCAAGATTTTCCCTTAGTGAAACCATGCTGACTATCCAATGAAATTCTAAACTTTGTTAGATGACTTTGCAAAGCATTTTTTATCAGATTTTCAAAACTTTTCCCACAACTGATGTAAGACTAATATGTCTATAATTACTGGGTGATAATATAGTGTAACTGTTAATTATTGGCTTTAATGCTCTATTATTATAACAGTCAACAGCTGGCAATCATGTTTGAAAGCGTGGTATGATATGTTAGGCCTGGTGTTGTGCGGACAATTGTCAAGAGACTAGGATTACCTGAAAATATTAGATTGTGACATTTTTACATTTTCTTAGCTTGGAATAGTAAGTGGCTGTCGTTAGTTAACTCAGCCATTATGTTCCCGACTTTGGTACGAGTTGACCACCAGTCATCACATCTCCACTGGCTGTCGTTAGTTAACTCAGCCATTATGTTCCCGACTTTGGTACGAGTTGACCACCAGTCATCACATCTCCACTTCAGGTCTAATTGAAACTCCAGCTATCACGTCCCCACTCATTGCTAGTTAAAACCCCAGTCATCACGTCACCCACTTCAGTACGGGTTTTAAACCCTGATCGTTACATTCTACACTTCAGGTCGAATTGAAACCCCAGCTATCACGTCCTTACTCATTGCTAGTTAAAACCCCAGTCATCACGTCACCCACTTCAGTACGGGTTTAAACCCCGATCGTTACGTTCTACACTTCAGGTCGAATTGAAACCCCAGCTATCACGTCCCCACTCATTGCTAGTTAAAACCCCAGTCATCACGTCACCCACTTCAGTACGGGTTTAAACCCCGATCGTTACGTTCTACACTTCAGGTCGAATTGAAACCCCAGCTATCACGTCCTTACTCATTGCTATTTAAAACCCCAGTCATCACGTCACCCACTTCAGTACGGGTTAAAACCCTGATCGTTACGTTCTACACTTTAGGTCGAATTGAAACCCCAGCTATCACATCCTTACTCATTGCTAGTTAAAACCCCAGTCATCACGTCCCCGCTCATTACGATTTAAAACTTGCGAGAAAGAAGCGGGAAAATATCAGATAAGTAACCCTGCGATCTTTTAATGAATTTTAAACTTCCTCTCTCTCTTTCGTTTTCAAAACTGCGTTCAAAACAAATTCACAGACACACGTCATGAATTAATATAAGTTTAAGAACCAATAACTTTTCATGGTAACAAAAATTAATGAGGGGCAGCGTGTCCTAGTGGTTAGTGCTTTGAACTTGCAGGCGAAAACCGAGAGTTCGAGGCTTAACCAGGACATGATGTTGTGTCCTTGAACAAAACACTTTACTCGATTGCTTTAGTCTACCCAGCTAGGGTTAATCTGCGAGGGATTGACATGACATCCCTGATACATACACAAACAGAATTAGGTTTGGTTTGTTTTGAATTTCGCGCAAAGCTACACGAGGGCTATCTGCGCTAGCCGTCCCTAATTTAGCAGTGTAAGACTAGAGGGAAGGCAGCTAGTCATCACCACCCACCGCCAACTCTTGGGCTACTCTTTTACCAACGAATAGTGGGATTGACCGTCACATTATAACGCCCCCACGGCTGAAAAGGCGAGTATGTTTGGTGTGACTGGGATTCGAACCCGCGACCCTCAGATTGCGAGTCGAGCGCCTTAACCACCTGGCCATGCCGGGGCCCTAACCACGTGGCCATGCCGGGTCCACAGAATTAGACATCAACTTTATGTGCCTTTCAGGCACGAAAAGGACAAACTTGCTTATTTGTTTTATCAATCAATGTTATTTTTAATAGCTAAATATTTACGGTCAGATATTTTTTTATTTAGACTTTTTTAAAGGATTTTATGACATCAAAGGTAAAACAACCGAAAAATGTATATTTTGGGATCCTATGTAGTCATATTTACAGCAATAAAGATGAAAACTAGCACAAATATACATTTTCATGCGCCCAACATATTGACTCTCACAAAAGCTGGATTTGTCCATTTTGAGTTTGATCTACTTTACAGGATGAATGGTGTTGTAAGCTATATTTTCAATGTTTTAACTTTGTTGTTTGTTAGAGGGAGGTACTAAAACGATGATGACGAAATATTTAAAAAGTTTATAAAAGTAGTTCCTAGAATATTTAGAATGTTCTTAAATATTAATAATCGAGAGACTTTGAAAAATAGTTAGAAACAAGGAAATAAGAGAATAGTAAAGCACTGAGTCAATTTTCAATTCATTCAGTGACTGAATGGCTAGTGAAGCATTTAAGCCAGTGTTGGCTATCACGTATATTCAGTTACTCTATCAGTTAGCCGTGAAATTGTACAACTTACAAGTAAATTTACCTTGTACGTTAGTTGCAGTAGCACTAGTACCTTTAGCGAGTAAATTTCTATTGAATATGAAAACATTATTTGTGAACTTAGGCCTACAACTGTGTACAAGTGATAGTAGCCTGTAGCAAACGTTAAGGAAGAAATAAACTAATTTGTTGTCGTTACCTAAACCTAACTTCGCAATATTTTCACCAAATAATTTAAAAGAACCTACTCAACGAAAGAACACTTTACAACGACAGTACTGAAGGCGAAAAATGTCTCACAAAGATAAATTTAATTTCTAACTATGATTGAGTTGAGGAAGGAGACCAAACACAATGTAAAACATTTACAAAGTAATCTTTATTAAGTAACACAAATCAAAGAGGTGAGTGTGAAAAGACGACTGATGGCGCTCTTTTCTAAATGGAGAGATCTCTCAGAATCAGGAGTGGATCTGGCCAAAATCCACTGGGATTCTGAATTAAAATGAGAGAGTACAGTGACTATATACAAAATAAAATAGTGTAATCTGTCCTAAATATATGTGTAAGTCATTGCAATGATAACACAACTTTGAAACAATGTAAGCAAAGAACTCCTGCGGCTCGATTGTTATCAATGCAAATGTATTGTTGTTTCACAGGAAAGTAACTGTTTTATAACATCGCTGTAGTGTATATATTGATTGTTAAGTGGTCTGAAGGAACCAACGCATTGTGTTTTGTTATCCTTTCTGGTTTACTGTTCTCAATGTCTTGTTAACTTCAATATTAATACTGTTAAAAATAATAGTGAATTCAGTTACATTTCTTTTCAAATAAACATATTTTATTCACACGTAAACTTCATACACAATTATTTTACATGTTTAAGTCATTGCAGTAATAACAGAAATTTGAAGGGTTGATTACATTTGAAAACAATGAAGGTAATGGATTCTGGTGGTCCGATTGTCATTAATCTACATTTATTGTTAATTTGCAGGAGAAAATAGAGGGCGTCTATGTAGTACGTATTTCTTATTTAGTGGTCCGAAGGTTTGTCAAACATTTTAAGCCTGGTTTTAAATTAATCAAAATATATTGTTTAAAAGTATGTTAGGTCCATGGTTTGGCATTTAGAGAAATTAAAAAATAAATATTTTAAGGAAATGTAATAATATTTAAATATATAGCCTAATAAGCTGTTTCAGAGACTTGTAGATTAATGACTGGTTTTAAATTATGGTCATTGATTACAATAATTAGTATTTGGTTTTACATAATACAATTTTCTGAAATTTATCGTACGATTATAGCTGGTTGAATTATTTTAATGTTAAGCTACGAAAAGGCAAATTGAAATTAATAATCCAAATTTGCTTATTAATAACGGCTGTCGTCGACAGATGGCGAAATTACTTTTGGTTGAAGCCGCTGGATATAGAACGTTTTAAGGTCGGTAGGGGGAGCTTGTAGTCATGCTGCCTTTGTTGTCTGTTGTATCCCTCTTCATCCAAGTGGTTAAGTTCAAACAACTAATTAAAAAAAACTTCAGTTATTATATATATATATCTTACAAACATTGATATTTAAAACAGAAAATAAAAAGTTTGGGATATGCTTTTGTTTAATCCAATCTTTAGGGAAATATTTAAACAGTAAATTTATGTTTCGATATAACAAATGTTTTAAAGTTTAATTAACTAGGTGCTTGATAAACGTTCGTATCTTTTCATTGTAGGTAGTTATATTTTAGAGTTAAATACTGCATTTAGCTTAGACTTTTACACAGAATACTGTATTCTTTATATTCATCTGACGTCACTGAATAAATGAGAATTTTAATAGCACATGATAAAGAAGTACACATTTCCTGATTTGCCATTTCAAACATATTTGAAAACGATATCAAACATACCATTTGAAGAACGTTCTTAATTTCTTCTTTTCTTGTTTCGTCAAATCTCGTCGGTAGGTAGCGTCCTTGTGCAAGCCAACAGCACGCCGAGACAGCTAAAAATGCCAGAAGTACAAATTCACGAGAAACTGAAAAAAAAAGGATGTTAATTGAGATTACAAATTAAAACTACTAGGTCTATACCAAACTCAAAATCATTATTGTAATGTTTAAGATTTTTACAACTTCAAAAAAAATGCATAAAATTCAAAATAAACTGCTTTTTACACAATCTAAATTCACTTCCCGTGCGCAAGGCTGAAAACGGTATTGTTCATTTGAAGCATTATGGGATATATTTTAAAACGTTCCCTTGCAGTTTTGACCATTTTGGAGGTTAGTGTCCGTTTTATCGGTAATCATCAAATACTGGAAAATGAGAGTCACTGAAAAAGTTCGTAATTTGTAATCACTTCAGGTAGGCTTGCATCAGCAGCTTTAAGAATAACCCCGCCCCCAGTGTTGTAATCATTTCAGGTAGGCTTGCACCAGTGGCTTTAAGAATAACCCCGCCCCCAGTGTTGTAATCACTTCAGGTAGGCTTGTACCAGTGGCTTTAAGAATAACCCCGCCCCCAGTGTTGTAATCACTT